GGTGTGAGGGAGGAGTGAGAGCTCAAGGCACCCCCCACCCTACACACAACCCCATGGCCAGATGTCTTGGGCCACAGTGAGGCTGGTGGCTGAACCACAGAGCCACAGGAGGCTGGCCACTCTCTGGGACCCTCCTCCTTTGTAAGGGAGCATGTTGATGGGCTGGGTGAGGCTGAGACCCCATGCTCCTGCAGCCTTGGGTGGGCAGCAGCGCAGGTGGCCCCAGGGCAGGTAGGAGTCTCCTAGGACTCTGTCCTGAATCCCTTCTCCTGCCTCACTCAAACTGGTGAAGGCCAGGCCCCCCGAGGTGTGGGAAGAAACCTGTGCGTGCGTTCTGGGGATCTCTGGGACTGAGCGTGGTGCCGGAAGCTGGTCAGGATCCAGGAACTTCCCTGCTTGTTTGTCTTCCGTCCCCCACCCAGGGGTCCAGCCAGTAGGGGCTCTGTCAGCCAGGGAGGAGGGGGTGGCATTGAGGGCCGTGCCTGAAGCTCCGTCACCTCCCACAAGCTCCCTCCTCAGGCTGTCCCCCAACATCTGTGGAATGAATGTGTCCTGTGGAAGTTCTGCCCACTTGCCCCCACTTGCAGCAATAGCTGCAGCATTCTTATGAAGAGACGTCCACAGAAACCACAATAACGAGATGCCGGTGATCCCTGTCATGTTTACTCCATAGCAGATGCCGTCCCAAGCACCTCATGTGTATTAACTCATCCAGTCTGCACAACAATCCTGTGAGGCAGGTACTGTTGTTACCCCCTTCTTTGTGGGGAAACTGAGGCACACGGCCATTGATCAGGCACAAGAGGCAGAGCTGGGATTTGCATGCCAACCAGCTTGACCCAAAACCTAGCTCTTGGCCATTTCTCTACCCCGCTTTTCTGACACAGAGCAGAGCTGGCTGTGTCTTCAGGTGTGAGGACCTGCCATTTGAGACCCTCCCCCCAGGGCTGGCTCCCCTCCACCTTTGTCCTTGATAAATTCCCTGCAGCCATGTCCCTCATCTGAGCTCCCACATATCAGGCTCTGAGGGCGTTGATTAAATTATTTGTCTCTTAAGGATTAAAAGTTGTGCTTTTTATACAGAGGCTCAAGAGCAAGTCTGCAAATGGAATACTACCTAGCCAGTAAAAATCATATGGCAGTAGAAAACAATTTCTTGACAGGGGAAAGTGTTTATGATCCATTGCTTAGTGAAAAGTAACAGCTTTCATGGCAGTGTGCACAGAATCATATCCGTTTTTAAAAACTATAGTATGTGCATGTATGCATACATGCTATATATGCATATGTGTGCATGTATTAACATGGGTCCACATATACCTAAATGATGAAATGATAAAGTGGTCTTCTCTGGATGGTGGAATTACCTATGAGTTTCTTTTTCTTTGTGCTCTTCTGTAGTTTCAGTTTCATGTATTAGTTTTGTTACTAGGAAAAAAGAATTTTCTTTCAGAAAAAAAAATTCTCTGTCTCTCAGACATGTGATGATGTTCTTTCCACTTATGTGAAGTACTTAAGCAGTCAAATTCATAGACAGAAAGTAGAAAGGTGTGTGCCAGGGGCTGGGAGAGGGAACAGGATTTAATGGGGACAGTGCCAGTTTTACAAGATGAAAAGTTCTGTGGGTGGGCGGCGGTGAAGGTTACACAGCAGTGTGTGAATGTACTTAATGCCACTGACCTGTACACTTGAAAAACGTTAAGATGGTAAATTTTATGTTACGTATTTTATCACACACAAAAAAATAACATGTGTTGTTCTAACGAGATCAGCGGCAAGAGGGAAGTACTCACTCCTTAAAGCTATTTCCGGGGGCAGCAGGGCGTGATAAAAGGGTTTGCTTGGACCTAAATCCTGAGGGCACAGAGGAACTGACGGTCCCCGTGTGGGTCAGGAGCACTAAGCTTGGAGTTAAGCAAGCCATGTCCAGCCCCACCTTCTAGCGGCTGTGGCTTCTCCAGCAAGGGCCTAACCAGAGGGAGAGAACTGCACGACTGGTGATTGATGTGCTTGTGCTCTGTCTGTGGTTATAGATGCATTCTCTGCCTGGGGAACGGTGACCAGAAATTGAAGGCAGGGCCATTTGGGTGACTGTCCATTCAGCCCATCAAAGCTCATCTTGCTCAGGCAGAGCCACCTGGCTGCAGTCAGGAACTCGAAATCCTCAGGCTTTCCCTCCCCCTTGGGAACAGTCCAATCAAGGACAAGGTGTCTGGTGCCCCAGCCTTCTGTGCTGCCTGGTGCCCCTCAGGCATAGTCTCAGGGAGGGGCCTGGCCAACAGTAGCCGTAGCTTGCCCTGGAGTCTCTGCTGGGTTTGTGACCTTCAGAGGACAAACAGGCAGGATGGTCCCAACAGTGTACCCATATAATGAGGGGCAGGCCCAGGAATCACCTGGGGGAGGGAGTTGCTCTTTCTTTGGGACCCACCACAGAAAGACTCCCGTGTCCTTGGTTATAGGGACATCAGCAGCCACTTCCTAGAAATGGGGTTCTTATGTGGGGTGGACAGAGAATATCAAGGATTTCTTCCTTTTTCTTTTCCTTGGCAACATACCTCTACCAAAGTGTTTTCCAGGCATGAAGGCCCTTCTTTTTTATTTTTATATATTTTTTATATGTAAAGGACCTTTTTTTTTTAAGATTTTTATTGGGGAACAGTGAGTTTTTCCAGTACCCATCAGCTCCAAGTCAAGTAGTTGTTTCAATCTAGTTGTGGAGGGCGCAGCTCAGCGGCCCATGTGGGGATCGAACCGGCAACCTTGGTGTTATGAGCACTGCGTTCTAACCAACTGAGCTAACCGGCTGCCCCTGAAGCCCTGTCTTTTAAAAATTAATTCCAAACATCTAGAAGTCATAGTTGACCTCCAAAGCCTGTGTTCTGGGTGGATTTTCAAAGCTTTGACTTCTTTGTAGCTCGTGTGTCTGCTTTGTCAGTCACTCCTGTTGATTCTCCTTGAAAATATACCCCAAACCCAATCTCTTCTCAAAGCCTGCACACCCGTCGCTCCAAGTCACTGCCATCACCTCCTGCATTACTGTGGCTGCCTCTTGGTGGTCTCCCTGCATCTGTCCTTGTCCCCCTCACCCTGCTGTCAGGGCACAGCCAGTGTGCCCCTCCACCCTCGTCCATTACTGCCCCACCCCTGGCTCACCCACTCCAGTCATGGTGGCTTCTGCAGGGCCCGCATGCTCCCTCCCCAGGACCTTTCTCTGTGGGGTGCTCCCCAGACATCTGGGTGGGTGGCTTTCTTACTGCATGCTGTCCTGAGACCTTTCTGGTCATCCTGCTCTGTCCCTCCCAGGCCCTGCCCCCTTGTGGCCTACCTATTGTTACCCTTGGACTTGCATTAACTCTATACTTTCCTTTCATCTAGTCCTTTTACCATCTCCCACTGTTAAAACTAAGTGCCACAAGGGAAGAAATCTGATTTATTCCTTGTATTCTCCGTGTCCAGGGCAGTGCCTGGCACACAGTAGCTGCCCAGCAAACGCTTTGTGGAATAAATGCATCATCAACGTTCTCTGGATCCTGGGCCGGAACAGACAAGCAGAACACCCCACAGCTCAGTTTAGGGCATAGGCTTTAGCCATGGTTTGACAACTACAGAGGCAAAACTGATTTTTAAACATAAGCTCCTTTCATTTTTGCCTTCTAATCGGGCAAGTCAACATCAACGCCAAGAACAGGGCTAAAGGGAGATGCAGAATGAGCTGGCGAAGATAGCCATTGGCTCTGGGAGGGTTACTTGTGCTTGGCTGGCATTCTCTGAGGGCACAGCACAAGAGAAAACGCAAACCCAATTTTTTACTTAATACACACATTATCCTTCAGGATGAGGCTCAATCACTATTGGAATAAAAAAATAAATTCTGTAAAAAATGTCTACTCTGGAGACACCTTCATCATAGACTTCTGCCTCCAGAATTATGAGAAAATAAATGTTGTTTAAAAAAAAAATGTCCACTCTGCCCATGCCTAACTGCCTTCCTCTTCCAAGACAGCTACCTGGAAAACTGGACGCGACCCGATACGTGGGCTTTCTCCACCGTTCAGAGTTTCAGGCAGCGCAGAAGAGGCTCCGTGAGGGCGTGGGGGCAGGACGCTGGGGAGAGTGAGGGGCTGCAGGGCAGTGGGGTCGTAGGAGCGGGCAGCTCATTCCGGAGGCCCGAGTCAGCTCACAGGAACCAGCTTAGACGCACTGCATCTGCTCGACGTCAGATCTCTAACAGGCAGAACTCTTGATAAATTCCATCTTTTCACCTCCTGTTTGCCTTCTCCCAATGTAGCCCAGATCCAGGGTAGTGTTCCGAACATGGCAGGCTTTGGGTGGGTGCAGGGCATCTACTATGGGGTCTGTACTCCGGGTCTTTTCTATCACATTCCACAGGGCTGTCCCTTTGCTCTTCACTTGACCAGGTACAGTTCAAATTCCCAGTCAGGAAAATGATTCCATCCACGTGGGGGATTGGAAATGTTGCTTGTCGGGGGCTAGTGGTACCCATCCCTCACAATTGGAGATGTTGGGGGGGGGGCTTTTCTCTTGTGAGCTGCTTATGTTATAACCATTCCAGAGTTATTTGGTTGTTTTACTTAGAACCGACCAGTTTAGACAACTCAGGACTCTGCTCTTTCGCTGCTTTACAATGACAGGCTTCCCCCAATGTAGATGTGGACCTGGGGTTACTGTCCCATCCAGTTGCCCGGAGGCAACTCTCTCTAACCCTTGTAAGTGGGAAAAGGAAACGTAGATTCCTCAGGAGCTGCTGCCTAGAAAATAGAATTCCTGGGTTTAGTTGTTGCTAAGCTGCTTGGGGGCCACCCACGGGCCCTGGGAGAGGCCACCCTCTGCTCCTGGGATGAAGTCATGACCACAGCCAAGCTCAAGGGGCTGCAGGGTGATGGAGCTTTCGTGTGTACCATGGATGTCCGTGTTGACGGGAAACAGGACAAGCTGATAGGAAGCAGGCAAATCACAGGACAGCTGTATGACAGGCAATCTGCCGTTTTTAAAATATAACATTTATTGCTTAGATGGTTTGATACAGAACAGCTTTTCTTCTCATTTTGAATTTGGAAGTACTATACAACTGAATACAAAGAGGAACAAAAAGTACCAAAACCAAACTTGTGATTCTGTTCATGTGGCATAAACCAGTTTTGTACATAACATGTAGCAGCAGTTTTTAAGTTCCCTTTAGAAAAATATGAATTCTACACATTTATTATTGTTTCCTGTTTAATGCACGGGCTGAAATCACTAGGATCAACTTCCTTCTTGAAGAAAGAGAGGAGAGGAAAGAGGCGAATAGAGGGTTGACGTTACGATGAATCTTCCCGAAACCGGTGTCCGACTGTCACGTAGCTTCCCTGCGGGCCGCTTGGGAAAACAGCCCTTTGGGTTTTTTGTTTTATTTTCACAGCCAGGAGTTTCATGTAGTGATTGAATCTCAGCATTGTGTCCACAAATCAAAGAGAAAAACAAAAAGAGAAAAACTTGCACCTCAAAAAACTTTTCAGAAGATCCATATATATATATATATATATATGTATATATATATATATATAATATATATATATATATATATATATAATTTTTTTTGTTTTTTTTTTTATAAAAGCCCTGAGAGAAGGAGAAAGAGAATCAAACAAAATGTATGGAAACAAATTAGCTGGACATGCAAACTAAGCTATGATTCACCCAGAGTTTAAACAAATCACAAATTTCACAGTTTAATATTGGGGGAGGGGAACAGAACAACAAACAAATAATACATTTCTCAACCTCACTAATAAAATGTGGCAAGACCTTATTGACTATGAGGGGACAGATGAAGGCTAAATAAAGCTTTAAATCAATAGTGATTATTGCGAGCTGCAGCCTCGGCTGTGTTGCCGGGGCGATTCCTGCTACATCTCACTGCAGCTGTAGAGTTAAGTCATGGCTTCTCCCCACATGTTGCGAGTTTTAGTGTGGAGAGTTGCAAAGAAAAACAAAACACAAGAAACCCCAAATAATAATAACAACGAAAATAACAACAATCGTCATACAAAATTAAGGGATGCATGAATTGGTTTTAACTAAGCAGACCACACTTGGTATGAAGTGATCCAGGGGGATCATTGGTTCTGATGTGTGTTCATCTAGAGTAAATAAAACCTCGTTTTTAAACTGGTTCATACATCCCCAATACAGTTAAAAATTATATATACCTCAACTTTTTTTCTTTCACATGCAAAGATATCACTTTTCATTACCTCAAGAATATGTATCTTCCTTTGAAGTCTGGGCGGTTGGATTTTGGCCACCAGAAACTGGTGAGAAAAATGGAGGAAAGGGTCTGTGCGTCTGTCTGCACACGTAACTGAGTATAAAGGAGAAGCACTTAGGGCCAGAAGGTCAGGGTCCCGGGGAGGTGGGGGGCGGTGGGGGTATGGGGAGGCTCCCCTAGACAAGGCAAGAGGATCTGAGTGGGGGAGCAGCGCAGGAGGCCCCGCAGCACTGAGCCGCAGGCGTCCTAGAGGTCCTGGCTGGAGGACAGGGTGCTGAACACAAGCTCAGCTACAGTAGGATATATTTCTTTTCACTGCTGGTGGCTACAGCGAGGGAAGTCTATTGCCTGCATAGGATGCTCACAAAACAAAACAAAACAAAACAAAACAAAAAAAAGATCCTGCCTTTTTGCACTGAGGAGTTCAGGCTATTTCGGAAACTAGAAACAATACGTTATCTTCAAGCACCAATCCCAAATCGCAGGAAGGTAAATATAAATCTCTTTCTCATCTTCAATTTTGCATGTGCAGTTTCATTACCAGTAGTAATATTTCCTCGCTTTGCAAATGACAGTAGCACAGGCGGGTAAGGCTTGGGCTGGGTTTGGCAGAAGACCGGTGAGTACAGGTCTCCTTGCTGCCTGGCTTTCTCAGAAGCCCCGGGCGCACGTACCCCTGCTCTCCCCTCTGAGCTGCTCCTCGGCCACGGGCAGAGGACCATTCATGGCCCCTGCTGGATTCTGCAGTCACGGAAGAAAGGCTTGTCTAAGTACAGTAGAAGAGCTCCCACCCAAGGGTGGCAAGAAAAGCTGTGGGCAGACGCTTATGCGGGAACCCCGGGGGGCAGCCCAGGTCTCCAGGACAAATATTGCCCATTTGTTTCTGCTGACTGGAGAGACCAGCAAATTGATGAACTAAAAATAATAATAATAATAATATTAATAATACATATATCGAAAGGGGGAAATCAGATATGTGACATCTGTGTATGTTCTCCATAGATTAAGTTGCCAGGGTAACTCTTCTCTGTAAGTTAAGAACAAACGTCTTGAAACTTGAACAGTAATAGCATGTCTAACGCTGAAAGAGTGAAAACATGTATGAGGTTGAAGCTAGAATCTTTCCTGGTTTTGGTTCGAACCAAATTGGAAACCTTCATCAACCACATCCTGTAATACAGAGGGCCAAATTATAGCTCCATCATGTAGCAGACAAAAAAAAAAAGAAAGAAATAAAAAGGTCTATTCAAGAAATAAGCATCTCATCCATATTTCCTCTGGTAATTTACATGAAATTCACATCATTTTCTTCCAGTTATTGGCTATGGGTATCCAAGGGCATGTTTTTTCTTCTGTTTCCAGCTCACAGAACAAACGTTACTATCACAGATTCACAAGAACAAGCTCACACACACCAACACAGAAGGTAACGTTAATGCTTAAAATGAAAAGGTCCTGTCCAAATAATTCATTAAAATATTTGTGTTTTAAAAAGTCATTTTGGGACAACACAACACCCAGGACGACACTGAAGGACCAGTAAGTAGTTAAGGCACTCGAATCGTCCGTGCTGGTCTCTTGCACGGGCTTGTGGTAAAGGCTATGGCACCGGGCGTCGGCCGCCCTTGCTCGTGTCTGTCTGTCTGTCTCTCCCTCTCTTTCGCTCCCAGACAGCTGAAGGGCACTGAGGAAACCTCATGAAACATAGATTCAGGATACTTTGCTCTGCTGGCTTTTGTCTGTGTGCTGGGGGACAGCATGAGCTGTCATTCCATTCCCAGGAGTGGCGAGGTGCCATCCGCGGCAGCCAGGATGGGGTGGGCGGGCCTCTGGCCGTGCAGCTCCAGTAGGTCCTGCACCAGGGCAGCCGGGGTCTCTGGGTCCGGGTCATCCTGAGGGGCCTGCTCCTTGGGGCTGCCCACGGGAGTGGCCTTGGGGGCGCTCCTGCTGGCTTCCGCCTGCCCGGCACCAGCTGTCCGACCCGCTGCCCTCTCCTCCCTGCGGCTGGCATCCTTGGCCTGGCTCTCCTTCCGGCTCCGGGTGACAGCCACGTGGTTGCTGACCAGCAAAGCCGAGTCAGCCTCGTTCTCTGAGACGGGGTTGTTGCCGCTGTGGGTGGACTCGCTTTCACTGTCCTCATCACCCCGTTCATCCCTGTCGCTGTCCTTCCCGTGGTGTTTGGCATGCCTGGTTTTCTGGTGGACCCGCTGATGGCGAACCAGGCTGTGCTTCAAGGTGAAGGTTCGCTCACAGGTCTGACATTTGTATGGCCTTTCTCCTGGAGAAACGGGGGAAAGAAATGATGTCCCTTAATGGTATGGCCACCAGTAATCGCCTCTTTCTGCTCCATGCAAGAACAGCCATGAGAAGCAGCCAAGGGGCAGCCGGTAGCCGAGGCCAGGACTCCCTTCTGCTTAGCGATACCCTCTTATTTGTCGGAACTGACAAAATGGGGAAGCAAAAACGCAGGGGCCAGCCACGGCTTCCCGCTCCCTTGCCTCTCTCAACCCAGGTTTTTCATATGCTGAGCCAGAACCAGCATCTCAGCAGTGGGAGCCTCGGGGACATCCAGACTGGCCTGCAAAGCATCTCAAGGGAGGACGGCAGTGTCCTCTCTCCCACAGGGACAGACACAATTTCCGAGGGTCTGCTGACAGTGGCACCTCCTAGGTCAAAGGCACAAGACACCGTGTGTTCTGACACGAAGCAGCTGGAGCGACCCTCTCACTCACAAACACTGCGCTGGGAACAGCTGAGACCACCGCCTGCCAGGAGCTCAAGACTATCTCTCTGTTGGGGAGCCAGGCCCAGAGCCCTCCAAATCCCCCAGCCCAGGGCCGAGCTGACTGCACAAGGTTGGGCAAAGGTGCAGGGAGCGCGTGTGTGTGCACTGTGGGCTACGGCCGGAGGGAAGAAGACAGCCAAGACGAAGACAGAAGGACTACGCTTTGTATTTTTTTTTTTGGCGGGGGTGGGGGCGTGGGCGTGGTGATATGCTTGCATCTTTTGGCTTCATGAGTATATCTAGGTCTCCTTTTTTCTACCAAAACAACGGCCCCTGCAGTGGAGTTTGTGGCCTCAACCCTGTAGCTAGTGAGTTCCAGGAGTAAAGACAAGTGCAGAGCGTGGGTGCCCCAACTGGCCTGTGCGGCAGCCAGGTGATGATCCTGTTCACTCACATTGCCCAGCTGCTGCAAAGCCAAGACAGGAAAAGCCCCTGGAGGTGCAGGTCTGCGGCAAACTTCCCACCTGAAGGCTCATGATGAAATGAACCCAGGTACATTCCAACAGAGCCCCAAAGAGTTGCCTGTCCCTACTGCCTGTTCCCCAGGCCACACTCGCAGTCCTTACAGGCTCGGGACTTGGTGAGACCACAGGCCCCAAATGCCCAGCACCCACATTCTTCTAGACGCTTATGTGAGACAGGGCAGCCATCATCCCCATTCTATAGATAGGAAGACTGAGGCTCAGAAGGCTAAGGGACTCTCAAAATGCTCTGAAGAACACTGCTGCTGAGGGACCCCTCCACTGCCTACCTGCAAGGATCCTGTTATGTTTCACGTGCTAGGAGAACACTTATTTAAAAGTTCCTAGTTTACTGGGCTTAATGGGCACACATGCAAGCTCAGTCAATCCTCTCTGGCCTCTGGCCTGGGTTTTGTCACTGCTTAGGGGGAGGCTCCTCCTCCTGACTTAGGTGGGTCAGAAGGAAGAGGCAGGAACCCAACGCGCCCTCAGCAGGCTTGGAACGGGTCCTCCCTGACACGACAGCACGGTCCCTGGAGGCCTGGCCCGCCCTTACCTGTGTGGGACCTCATGTGCCGGGTCAAGTCCTGCAGAGACCAGAACCTCTTGCTGCACACAGTGCAGACCTTCTTTCTCTTGTCCGCTTTGCTGGTCACGCCTCTGGAGGAGTCTGTCTTTGGCTTCTTGTCATCGTCACTCTTCTCGGAGGCCTTCTTGTCGCCCATGCCCTCCCCATCAGAGACGCCGTCGGCCTCCTCGCTGTGCTTCTCCACTGAGCCTTCTGACGCGACCTCCCCATCAGCCGGGGGCTGGGGCTTCTCCTCCGGCTCAAGGACAGGGGTCGCGGGCATGGGCAGTGACCCTTCGGCCGCCCCGCTCTCGCCCTGGCCCTCCCGAGGGGGCGCACTCTCCTCCCTGGGCTCCTCCCGGCCATGGGCCTTTCGGTGGCGGCTCAGGGTCCCAAGAAACTTGAAGCTCTTGCCACAGACGTCACAGGCGTGCTTCTGGTCCTGCTGGGCCGAGGCTCCGCCGCCCACAGCCCCGGTGTCACCGTCGGCCAGCTTGAAGCCCATGAGCTTGCTGGCGAGGTTGAGGTCCAGACTCTTATTGCTGCCGGCGTCCTCCTCGGGGCCATCCACATCCTCTTCCCTATCCTCCGCACCCGGCTTCTCCTCCGGCTCCGGGGCCTCCTCGCTTCCCAGCTCCTCCCTGTCTACGGGCTCTGCTGCTCCCTGAGTCACCTCCTCCCCGGGGAGCTCCTCTTTGGCCTGGTCGGGCTCAGGGCCCCCCTCTGACGATGACTGCTCTTTCTCCCGAGAGGTGAGATCCAGCACTTCGCCGCCCACGGCTGACGTTTCCACATCGGATTGGCTGTCTGTGGGAACAAGCACAGGGGACCGGGTTGAGACCAAAAGCCACCACACGCTTCCCTTCCAAGGGCTCTGTCGTGACTCTCAGCTGGACCCAGCCCCCCGAAGCCTGTATCTCCACCCCAGCAAGAATTTGTCTCACCCTGAATCCTCATCACCCCTTACTTCCCTGGAGGGCCCAGATGAATCTGGGGTTAATTTAAAAGGCAGAAAAGGCCTCTACACACACACAGGCTGGGGACTCAGGGCTGACTGCGCCCCGGAGCCCCTGCCCTCCCCTGCCACACACACCGATGCTCAGCCCCAGGAAGGTGTGAGCGCTTGAGGGCAGCGCAGACAGAAGAGACGGCGACAGAGGGAGAGTGGCTGCATTCCAGAGATTCACAGCGCTAGGGAGGCTGAGGAAGCTGGGCTGTCACAGTTGTGTTTCCAGTGCAGATTATACGAACATGCAACATACACGGGACCACCCCCAAACATGGTGACTGAGGAGGAAACGGCCCGAAGCATGGACTCTGTGCTATGGTACACGCTCTCGCCTGATGCTTAATTTTCAGGTCAGGTTCCAAGGCCAAAGGAGACGCATGCACACCTGTGGCCCTTCCTGGCTTCTGTCAGGACACTATGCAAGGCATGGAAACACGTCTTGTCTCTTGATTTGTTCCTCCCTGTCCACTCTCCACAGCAAAACCAGATGTTTTAAAGACCGTCTTAAGGAAGGGCACTGTGACAAAACTAACGACACCAAATAGATGGCAAGGCAATATTTATCAGAAGCACCGCTTTCTCTTCATTCGGGTTGAACAAGGACTTAAGGACTTTTTAATTATGTGCTATGGCAGGGAAGCTGTCTGCTGGAACCTACGAAGTAACTATAGACCCAATCGCCAATTTATCCAGCTGACGAGATTCTGTCTCACGGCACATACGTTAGTTGCGCCTCCCTCATAAGCCAGCAGATTCATCACCTAACCTGGGCCCTCACTCGATGTGGTCACATGTACAATGCCCACCCATGTCTATCACGCTCTCTCAGTCACATGCTCAATTAGTTGCCCTCAAGGTGGTCCTGGGGGTGGGGGTAAAGGGGCTGGCACCGTTTCTGCCGGGTTCACACCTGCCTGGCGTTTCTGCTTACCGACAATCCTCTCTCAGCACTTCCACTGACATCACTTCATTGGTTTTATTCTCACTGGACCTTTTGACAACCACTGTCTGAGTATCTCAAGAGGTTTCAGAAGGAAACAAGTCATTATGGTGTGAATATAAAATTTCTGACAATGATTTTTGAAAATTATCCGAAAGTTTAAAGAAGAATCCTGAGCTATATATACATACACCAATGTCTAGGCCATGTTCTAAGGAAAAACTAGACGCTCATTTTCTTCAATCATTCCAATATAGGGAGCATCTATTAAATGGACTTTGGTATAAACTCTACAATAAAACAATATCAAATGCTCAGTTTCTTATTTGCTGGCTTTGTAGGTAGTTACATTTTAAAAAAGAGGCTTAATCTCTGGTTACTTCCTATTTGTCCCAGTACATTCTAGGCTGTTTCAATTATTAATTTTTTTTCACCAAAGAACATGGATTATTTTCAAGTTTAAGTGCAGAACATATTAAGATGTCCCTGGAAAAAAATCATGAGTTCTGAAACCAAAACCAAGTAAATATACTAAGATCAAATTATTCTCATTCCTGGGCCCTTCCTCGGTGTGGATAATGGGAGAGTTCACCCTAAAGGCACTGAAAGACCAACTGCTTCCTCTGGTGAACGAAGGGGGCTTGGCTGTGCTCCACCAAACTTCCACTAGGGGGAGAGTTTTAGCCGGGCAGTCCATGACCTTCAAGCTCCAAGCAACTCCCAACTGATTTTTATTAGTGATTCTTGAAACAATAGACTTAACCGCTTCTTGTCACCTCATGAATATCCAGCATATAATACCAGGTCTCATCTTGATCCCTGCCCTTCTCAACCACTCACATTTCCAAATGCAGGTAGCTGAGCTGATGCCTTTTATAAGCAATGCCACCACCTACCTTAACACCATGATTGTCTATCCCCATCAGTCCCTCATTTGTGATGCTAAATCTAAGAAAACTGCTAGAGGGAGGAGACAGAATCCTGATGGTACCAGCAGATAATAAACCCACAGCTCCTCCTATGGGAAAATGGAGTCTTTCATGTTAGCTCAACAATGAAATATCTACTGCTTCCTAGACGGTCCCAGTTACTCAGCTGATGTGACAACCAACCTAAATACTTAATCTGACTGACTGGGCAAGGGCACAGCTGTCGAAGTCACTTATACTTCACCTACCAAGGAGCCCGTCCTGTGGTGCGGTCCACATGGCACGCGGGACTTTGGGGCTGGTAAGGACAGGCACCATTCAGGGACAGTTTAAAACTGTCCACATTTATGCTGATTTAAAAAGTCATATGTAGGTGCCCACAAATATGAAGGCTCCTACAGGCATCATCCAAGGAAGAAGCATGAGTCCTCTCCCCAAGGGCAAAGTGGGCCCTGGGGTCTCCCTTTGCCCACAAGAAAGTGTACGAAGAGTTTCAGTTTAACTGAGTGATCAATACACCCCTTTAAGCTAGAACTGTCCCCGTTGTACCATTTTTAGCATTTCTTTGGGGAAAATCTAGGGTATATTTTCGTGAAAGACCCTATGGGATTGAAAAAGTCAGACCTACATAATAAAACGCGTTTAGGGATTTTAAGAAAATGCAACCCAGGCATATAAACCTAGAAAACCCCTCAAGAACTTCCTTGGTCATTTCTTGCCTTTTTTTTATTTTTATGGTTTTCCTCTAGGGCAGCGGTTCTCAACCTTCCTAAGGCTTGCGACCCCTTAATACAGTTCCTCATGTTGTGGTGACCCTCAACCATAAAATTATTTTCGTTGCTACTCTGTAACTGTAATTTTGCTACTGTTATGAATCGTAATGTAAATACCTTTGTTTTCCGATGGTCTTAGGCGACCCCTGTGAAAGGGTCGTTTGACCCCCAAAGGGGTCGCGACCCACAGGTTGAGAACCGCTGCTCTAAGGCCTCACTTTCAACTTCATGGGAGGGAGGGCCTGAAGGAAACAAAACCTTCACCCTCTCCATTGTACTCACCTGGCTTTAAAAACTTCTCCTTGAAATCGCTGAACTCCACCTCCCTTTCCTCACCTTCTTAAATCTCAGTCCTCTTTCTTACCATGGATTGTGACCACAATTGAACCAAACATGTATTTTCCCTTTGCTGGTTTCACATTACAACTTTCAGTGAATTCTCTTTTTCCAGAGGCTTTGTCCCTTAAAGAAAACCTACACAACTCCCAGGGCAGGGCGGAGGTGAGGAAGAGCTGATGTAACTTGGGAAAATAAAACTCTTAACTGCAAATTTAAAAACTAAACACATCACAATGCAAAACCTGGTGCTGAAAGGAAGCTAAGCTATACATTCTGATCAGCTTTGAGTCTGCAGGCTTCCACAGCAGCTGCTCCCTCAGACATCAGCAGGAGTCCCAGGTTTGGTGTTTCTCCTCTCCTCATGACCAAGAAGCTGAACCCCAAAGATGCATCCAGCACATGGTTGTTACACTTCTAATTGTCTGCAAGCTTGGGGAACGAAGGGCTCCCTTTGGTCACCTCAATTATATGTTTCTCTCCCTCCTCTGGAACCACTACAGGTAGAATCACGTAGCTGCTTTCTAAACCAGGCTGTGAGGAAAATACGCTGGCCACCAGGTCACACAGTGCCCACTGTTAAACAGCAAGAGTGATCATCTGCAGCAAACTCGAGTTCTGCCAGCGTCTCTGTGGGTTTCCTGGGGGTTGAACAGATCGTCCGCCACCTTTGGCTCAAGGGGGTCCAAGTCATGGCCAGATTCTGTGCGTGTCTGCATCTTTCTGTACTCAAAGATCCTAGCAAATTATGTGGAAATGGAAGCTAGGGGTGGAGCCAGCAAACTGGACTACATTTTTGTACCCTTAGAGCAGCGGTTCTCAACCTGTGGGTCGCGACCCCTTTGGGGGTCGAACGACCCTTTCACAGGGGTCGCCTAAGACCATCGGAAAACAAAAAGATATTTACGATTCATAACAGTAGCAAAATTACAGTTATAGAGTAGCAATGAAAATAATTTTATGGTTGGGGGTCACCACAACATGAGGAACTGTATTAAGGGGTCGCGGCCTTAGGAAGGTTGAGAACTGCTGCCTTAGAGGGTTTACTCTTAACCAAAGGGTCTGGCAGTTCAAGAGTTTGTTTTACTAAGGTTCAGTACGAGGCATGGGGGGACAAAAGCAGAGGGTTCCAGATCAAATCCTTTTTCTGGATATGCTACCTATCCAGATGCACCCGTCCCCCAGTAACTAAGATAAGGGTAAGGGGGCTGTGATTAAAGCCTGACCCTTTAGTCTACACTGACTGGGGGTGGGGGATTGACTCCCAGACAGTACAGCTCCCCATCCCCACTCAAGCCTGAGGGTCAGAAGCACAGGACACAATTATAACCTTGGAAAAGTACATTTGGGGGAATCTCATCTGCTTCAAGAAATGGGGAAACGGCAAGCTTTCAAGATCTGGAGAACGGACGCATACCTGTGAGACTCACGCACCAATGGCCAGCTAGCTGTGTGTCTAAGTGACCTGCAGCAGCCATTTTTTTTATTGTGCGGGGGTGTAGAACCCCAGCAGTTGGAGATGACGAATGTACTGAATACAGAACATAGGTGAATACAGAAGCTGTAAGGGGGCTGGGGTGGGGAAGGAGGCAGGAGACGCACTGGGCAGCTGTTAATTGCTCTGTAGGGGGTTGGAGGAAGGAAGCACATATCAGCACAGGAGAATAATACCTGGATTCAGGTCAAGCAGAGATGTGATTAAAGAAAGGACATGCAGAGTGCTTTTTCAAACAAGACAAAGTTTTTTTTTGTGTGTGGTTTTTTTTCCACTGGGAAGAGAGTTATTGAAAAGAAAAACACCCCCACCCCACACCGCCCCTCCTTGTCAAGGGCTGGGCATCCCTAGTTCCTGCAAAACCCTGACATCTGTGAGCCCATCCCTGCTCTGCAGGACGCAGCAGAGGCTGGGGTTGGAGAAAACACCCCAAGCCTTTAAGGTTTCACATCCCTTTCAGATGTGTTCCTACCAAAAGCTAAAACTGTACACCCTCCCTCATATCCCACCTCCAGTGGAGCCCAACAGCCTGAAATAGGGGGTCTGCTAGGAGAGCCACAGAGCTTCCCTAGTAGCTCAAAAAAGCAACCTAGGGGCACTGTCATTGCCTCCCACATCCCCATGCAGCTGTGTGCTTGCAGCCCTCAGCAGGGCCCTCCTTTCTGGACTGTGCAGTCCTAAGGGGAAGTGGAGAAGGCAGCCCTGCCGCGCTGGGAGGGCTGGAGTGTGCTGGGAGGCTAGCCGAGGCTGACCACTGGCCCTCCTCTCTCCGTCTCCTCCGCTCCATCACCTGGAAGCACTACCTGTGCTATCATGGGGTCCAACATCACTCTCTTTTGACTGGGGCATAAGCCCGTTTCTTCTCAGGGAGCAGTTGGTAACTCCGTGTTTGCGCAACTGGTGGCGTTCACAGTTAGATTTGGTAGAAAAGAAGGCATCGCATTTTTGACAAGGGAAGGGTTTCTGACCTGAAGCAGGAAAAAAAATAGATATTTATCTGGCTTTCTAGTGCAGTGAAAAAGAAAAGTTGCTTTCGATTCATTGTCCTGGGGTTATTGGCATTATTGTTCCCCCCCCTCCTCCACCCTGCTCTTTTTAAGAAAATAAACAAAACACATTAAAAAAATATACTGAGAACACCAACAAGTCAAATCATCATCTCCCTTAGCCTGAGTGGGATGGAGTGAATGTTTTGACTTCAAAATACTAAAAGTTAACAATGAAACCAAGATACACAAACGTTTTAAGTAAAACAACAGCATTACAATGAAAAATCTTAACAATGAAAAGTGAGCACAGCAAGGAAACACCTAAAAACTTGTAATAAGAAGATAGCTTTGAATGATTTCTAGCATGGCAAGTACTACACAGCCTGGAAAATCCAATGGGATGCCCAAGCCCCCCTGGAGGAATGTGGAACCCCCTGGATGTCTTTGGAGGCCAACCCCCTCTTCCTGACCTAAGTGGGCCCGGCCTCCCCCAGAGGATGGGAAGCGGTGCGTTCTGACTTCTCAGGACTCCTCCTGTCTGACTGGCAGACAAGTCCTGCAGTGACCTCTGCTCCAGGTCACTGTGGCCTTAGCCAGCAAGTCAGAGGAGGTCGGCTTGCTGCATGAAAGGCTCTTTGTCCCCCTGCTCTAAGCTCTTGCTAGTAGTAAATAAGTGACCAACAAATAACTTGAGTCTGCATTAGGAGATCATATGCTCCACTCAACAGACCTGCGTGTGAAGAAAAAAGGTCACTGAGCAGCCCCCAATCCCACCCAACTCCATGAATCTGTTGAGAGAGGAGCATGACCCTCCTGCCGCCCCCCCTGCCCCAGGAGTTATCTGCTTTGGTCTCCCTATCCTCTTTTTATTTGGATTCCTTCTGTACTGTAAATATGTTTCAAAATGTAAGCCAAGCTACTCTGCAACTTGTTCCTTGTTTG